CCCCCAAACCCCATATGCGAAATAATGATTGCCGGCAAAAATATCCATACCCGAATATTGTTTTGTAAGTATGATAACAGCGTGGCCGGAGGCATGACATGCGAAAATAAAGTCGAAAAAATAATGTGAATATATATGCTAATCTTACGTCGCACAGCCCCTATTCTTCGGCAAGAATTTTGTAACACAAATGCAGTGAAATGAATTCTTCCGATTAAGTGATCATCACACCGGACTAGCTGGATCGGGAATGTATTTGAATAAGCAGTATAAGCACGTAATTCGAAAAAAGTGTTATGGGAGTATCCATTACTCTTGAATTAATTACTGTGGACTATGCAGATGCAAAAAATTATTTTAGTATCTCACTCAACCCTCATAGTCAGCACAAGTTGATTGATCCGACAATCCCATTATCGCAGTCCCACCCATATAGCTCATGACCAGCCTAAATTTTGGATTATAAAAAACCGTTCCCTCAGGGAACGATCAGTCATGTGATTTTCTTCAATGCTTCTCCGCAATACATAAGAGAAGAGTGAATTGTTATAAGATGCCAGAAATTAGGGATTTTTGATTTGGATTATGATTTGTAATAATATACGCTTCTTTGATAACTAATCATTACCCCACATAAATAACAGTAGTTATAGATCGGTCATGGTTGCCTACATTGCCATCACAAAAAAAAAGAATTGCAATTACATTTATATTTTTATTACAACCATACCACATCGAATGTATGTATACACACATTAAAACAAAGGACAAATTAATAAATGCTTTATTAAGTTTTATTGTTTTTTTTTTATTGAATATAACTTGTTCTTATAGTGTACATTCAATTTCGCAAGGGAATGATTGTAATGTGTTAAATACCATCATTTTTCTTTTTGTTGATCGATAAAATTCTTCGTAAATAGGGAGAAAATAAAAATATTTTTATATAAGGATCATTACCAACTTCAATTGTAGATATAAGAGGCCGGCTAAAATAAATGCATCATCTATTTTGAAATAATAAAATCTAATAGACGTAAATTATCATTGATTCCTCTGCTTTCCCCAGAAATATAATTATCTATAATACTTTTATCCTTGCTTGTTTTCCATTTCTTTAAACGCAATCATTAATTGGGAAGAAATATTTTTTTTTGGTGTCCACCATGGATCATGGATAAAATTTGATTTGTAATGTGATGATCCATTGACAACCTTGACATTGAAGACCTGATTGAGTGAATTATATCCGTGGTCTAGTTCATAAAGCATGCCATCGACTTCTTCATACATTTCCTGTTGAACATGACACATTAGATCTTTTGATGCCCAAAAAACTAACTCGCACTGCACATTTCCAGTATTCCATAATAATACTTACCATTACGTATTTAAAAATTTTCACCGTTGACTTTAACTTTCTAATGTGAGCCAATTTGGTAGGTATCTCAAATGTTATCCCAGGAAAAACAACATAAAAGTCATTTATTAAGTCTTCTAATAACATCTGCCCGTAAACGCCAGAAATTTGCAAAAAAGGGATCTTCGTTTTATTCACTTGCTCCTTAGTTAGGTTTAGCCTCAAAATGGCATTCAATATTGATTGATTTACTCTGGCAGAACGACAGCGATCCCCAATCGCTTTTGCATTAGTACAATGTGCTGAAAATTCCCATTCACCAAGGTCTGTCCTTGAAGAACTTAAGAATCGGACGTCACATTTCCGTCCCTTTTCATAACTTGTAGATCGGCTCATAGGACAGAAAGATTCTCCCCTGTGCATAAATTTATGATTTATACATTAGCTAGAATCAAAAAACCAAAAAAGTATGCTTAGTTACCATTTGCAATTTATTCCGAGGCCTTTCCTTAATCCTTTCACGATATAAGAGCATGTCTTTACGATAATGTCTATTTCAGTGTAGCCCTCTCCACAATCTAACAAATCATCACCATCTTTTACTTCGAAAAGACTATGAAAGCAGATAAGAGACAAATCAAGAGTCAAGACAAGCTACAAATATTAAATACAAATAAAGTAAATACATACAATTCACTGTATATCTTGCTTATTTTATAAATACAAGTATTGGTTGGCGAGTTGGTATGCTTCTCAAGACAATATTTGTACGCCTCATTAGATCCTCCCTTCCGTACCATCTATGTATAAAAATGGAAATCTTTGTAAGTTGAACCAACTATACATAATGCACATTTACAAATGTACCTTTTCTACTTCCGCAATGAACGCGTTCACCTCTTCATCTAATTCAGGAACCGTTAAGACTGCTACGTGATCTTTCATCATGTGCTGAATATCAATGTCGGAAAACCAATCTCGCATATGCGCCGAGAGATCTATGACCTTTGACATACCATATCTCAAGGTGGCTCTCTCCACTGGACCTAGTGTTTCCTTTTTTTTTAAGACTTCCGCACATTGAGATATATTTACAGAGCAAATCTCATTGACAGATTTTCCTGAGGGTAGAACCCATTTTTGTGTATTAGTTGGCACAGAACTTAGAAAACTGTCTAAATCAGGAGTTTCCTCGCCTTCATCATCATCAAATGTCATTTGTGAAGAAGGAAAGCTCACTTCATCACTGTCACTTTCTGGAATGAAATTCGGTTGTGGTGGTGGCTTTGGTAGCACTGTACCATCAGGAAGGATGCTTCCAATTTGTGAAGGAACTCTCACTTTATCACTATCACTTGATGGAGTGAAATTCGATTGCGGTGGAGTTGGTAGCGCTGTACCATCAGGAAGGATGCTTCCAATAACGCTCACTTCATCACTACCACTTGGTGGAGTGAAATTCGATTGTGGTGGAGTTGGTAGCGCTGTACTGCTTCCAGAATGATTCTTCTATAATAAGCATAATATTAATTATAAAAATAGATGAAAAAAAAACCGCTAAAATCAAGTTATATTCTACCTTATTTGAGGGAGTTGGCTGAGTTGACTCCTCATCTGGATAGGTTCGCTTGCTTCCAACTGTTGGATTGTGTCCCACTGGGAGCAATGATAAGAGATTTTGTTGGTGTATTTTATTTGTTGTTTTTATTGCATTCACAACTCCGCCAGTTGTCTCTTTTACGGCTTGTAGCATCCCTTCAGCCTTGTATCAGGAATCAGAAAACTGTTATTTTCTGCAAACCAATCAATGTTGTACATAATACATCAACTTACCCGCGCAATATTCAATTCCCTTTCGTGATCGACTTCATTCCAAAAGACTGCGACATTTGGATCAGACATTTCGTTCTAGATAACACCGAAAAAAATACAAAGAATAAGATAGGTCTACCATGACGATCTAGAAAATCGTCAACAGAGCACCTAGAAAGTACCCTGCCTAGTCATGGCTGATGCGTCAACAAGAGCACCTAGAAAGTGCCCTTTAATTTCATTTCGCCATGACGATCTAGAAAATCGTCAACAGAGCACCTAGAAAGTGCCCTGCCTAGTCGTGGCGAGTACACTTGCCTTCAAGTTGCGAAGCATCTCTTGGGCTCGGTTCACTTGTTCTTTATTAAAATGGGATTCTTTATTATTTACAATGATCTCTAGATTTGTCTTCAGCCAGCTATGCTCTTTATGGAAAATACCACTAAAGTCACTTTGTTTCTTTCGAAAATCGTAGTATCCGTGAATAGTCCAACATTTAGGTGTATTGTCGAAGTATGCGAGATTTGCAGACATAGTTTACGCGTAGATAGTAGCCACGTCCATCATTTACAGTATATATATACGTGATCATCGTTCCACTGTGCAGATCGATCTAATGGTACAATGATCACTTACCAGATATCACAAGGGCTACCTTGCTAGATGACATATGAAGCCCATTGTATATGAAGTTTCCGCTATGCTATGATCCTATGATCGCGAATTTGAATTTATTGCCTGAAGTGAAACAAGTAAGACAATATTCTGTTCCATTTTTATACCATTCGCCATGTAATCCGTAATTTCCATGTTTTCCATTGCAAATAGGACATGGTGAGCTCCATGGCTGAGGTGATACAAAATTATAATTATCAATCCCTCTGAAACTATTTCCGAATTTCAAGTATGGGAAATGCTTTAAGACGGACTTGATAATTAATTCTGGATCGGGTCTGGCTTCGAAAGTGATAGGCTTGAAATCAGAGGCTTGAAGTTCTGCTGACATATTTATCACAACTTTTGGTAATTGCCATGGCTCATTTCCAGTTTCTTTCTTATATGTTTTATATAATTTGGAGCGAATTTTATCTGTCAAAACGCTTGGTAACCCACTTAATTTGGCATGCCAATCTAGATATTCGGGGGTTAATACTTTGTCGGACTTGATCATATTGTCTTTTTATATGATTGCAAACCAATTTAATTTATAGTAAGTATAGTCGACGTAGATTAGCTCTGTAAAAAAATAGTTTCTCAAGAGAAACGCAAATATACAGTATTGTAAAATAATGAGACTATGCAGTTATCTCAATTTCACACTGTTCACACTTAATAAAATAGGATCCAGTTTTATATCTACCTTCTATGCTTTTCTCATCATCATGACCTAACTTGCATAATGGGCAGATCTCAGAGGGATCGCATAATGTCTTATCAGTAATGCCATAATAATCGAAGTCTTCACTACTATATTCTCTATATAAGTTAGGATATTGATCCAATGTCTTGTTACGAAAATAATTGCGGTTATAAGTTTTATTAGATTGAGGTAAAGATAATATATTTGCCGATGTACTTACCTTAGCCCTAATCTGATCGTTCCTTGAGGGAACGGTTTTTAAAATCACATGACTCTGATGTTCGCTAGTATATTTTTTTACTCGATTTATGACATTTTGGATTTGTACATTAGTTAGTTTCGAAATTTCAGTTGCGCTATATGAGACCAGCTTAATTTTATCTATTCCAACCCCATTTTTTCCAAATAACATGAGATGTTTTCTGGCCCTATGAGTTTTTTTGCGCAAGTTAGCTTGTGTGATTTTACTAGGGAGAAATGGTTTCATTTCCTTGTAAATCATTGATCTTGCCGTTTTATCCTTAATTCTACCATCAACCGTAAGAGCACCTACCTTGCTCTCAAATTCAAAGGAATAATTATGCCAGTCTAATATTTCCTGCTGACTGGATTTTATTGCTATTTCAAATAAATAAGATAAGTGCTGGGCAGAACCCGAAATCATATTCTCCAAACTAACGTAAGAGCTTATGATTTCGGTAGAGTTGACATTATCTGGTCCATCTGGGACTTCTTCAGGTGATATAGGTGAACATAATTCATGTATTAGGCCTTGTTCTACGATTTGATTTTCATCAAGCGATTCCTCTTGAATCACGTCATCGTCTTGCTCAGTTTTCAGAAGATCCAGTTCACCTGAAATCATATGACTCTGATCGTTCCCTGAGGGAACGGTTTTTATATCACGTGGTATTTTTGAATCTACAATGGGGTTGGTAATACCTTCCTGGACTTGAAGCTGTGTGTTATCTTCAATGACCTCTGTTCTATGAGAGAGAGCCTCTCTGAGTCCACCAGATAATTCTGAAGAAGTACAGTTAGTAATTTTAGACACATCTGACTTCCCAATTGGTACATAAGAAGTAGCGGTGGTGTTGTTCTGGTTAGCTGATTCACGCTGGAGTTTCTTCTCCTTATTGTGTCGCCTAATATTTTCACCAATAATTTTCTTATCCTCTTCATCCAAGAAAATATCCATCTCTTTCACCTGTGATGATTTTTCATGATGGACCGCACCCGAATTGGCCGAAGGCGCTAAAGCAAAGTTAGATGAGTTATTATTGTTGAGGGTATTATCATTAGGGGTATTATCATTAGAAGAATTATGCGAAGCATCTCTCGACTCATTTGCCGTTAAGGCGCTTTGCAGAGTCTGCTTCTGTTCTACTTTCACGATTCTGTCTCCAAACTCAGATTCCAACTCCTCGATTCTGGCCTTGAGTTTGGCTTTTTCAGCATCACGCATCTCGTTATATTCCCCATTCGCTCTTAGAACCTCGGCATTCCTGCGCTTAAGTTCAGCTATTTCAGCATCAGACACTGAGAGCTTTCTTCTAAGATCAACTCTCTCAGCATCGAACTCTGAGATCTTTCTTCTAAGATCAGGTATTTCGGCATTCTCAGCCTCAAGTTCAGTGATACGCTGTTTTAATACTTCAAGCTCGGATGACATGATCTAGATGTATAACTAATACACTGTATATAAGTATTCAAAATAAAAATATCATTTGATTTTCCGAGACCGCGCGGTCCCGCAAATTTGCCAAGAATTTTTTTTTATTAATACATGCGAAAAAATAAATACAAATGTTCGGGACTGCACCCGTGATACATGATGTCTATACTAGTATCTATTCCTACAGTCTAACTAACTACTCGACATTTACGCAACTTGGAAATTTGTCTCATGCTCTTTACGGGGTATCTATAAAATGCATGTTTATTAATGATAAGAAAACTAAGATTGCAAGAAATAGGAACTTATGAAATAATAGATTCTTACACAATATATCTATCTAGCAATTGAGATAATTTGAGCTGTTCCTCGTCAAAAAGCTTTCTCTTCTTTTTTATATCCTCCCGACTTGCCATCCCGAAGTCAATCAGGTATATGTCATCATTATCATTAATTAAGATGTTTTCTTCCCGAATGTCATTGTGGAGGATACCACGTTTGTGGATTGCTTCTAATCCCTTAATAGCTTTCGACCTTTGACGTTTCGTTATTTTTTGGTCGCTCAACATAGTGCCAACAATGGTCATGCCGATAACGAAACTCATACCTCCTCCATAATATCCATAACAGATCAACTTTGGGATATATTTGCCTTGAATATCAGCAAGGTCTTTGTAAATCTCAACTTCTTTTTGCATTTCTTTCAGGACGTATGGTGGGGCTTTTGATAAATCAACGCTCTTCAAAGCAATAGTCTCATCACGAAATATACAAAGGAGCGTCTTTCCGCTTCGTCCTTCACCTAGTATGCCCTTAAACTTGAAGTCCGTGAAGCTAAACTTTTGCTGGTCTACGGGGATGTTACTGGAAGCGCCAAAGGCAGAAGATGATTGTTGGCTGGAAGTTGTTTGTTGATTAACTGATTGGCTGGAAGAGGTATCAGATAATTTTGACTGTGATCGAAGAACACGTGAATTATTGTCCCCGTGAACTAGTACTAGTACTTGAGGATGAGGAGACTTGGGATTCTCTTTCGCCTGTCGAGTCAGATAAGCATATGCCTTGAGTACAGGTGGAGATTCGGATTGCAGTGGAAGGGTTTTTGAGATCCAGAGTTCCGTGTGTTCTCGGCGTAGAAACCAGTGATTATCATAGGTGGTGAAAATACCATATCTAAGTTCATTTACTCCCATATAATTGTAGACTTGTTGGATCACCGTTCTAGCCTTTTCATCCGCCTGATAAAACTCGGGAAATGTCCTTCCATTGATATCTTCCAAAACATGCTTTCTTTTAGCCTCAATCACCAATATCAATAATTCCATGAGATAGTGACAGGTGAAATCCGGCACACCAGGAGTATCAGTTGATCGCATTGTATACTCATAATCTGACCCAGTAAGATCATTCAATACCATACAAATATTGAAATTAATGGCATTACGTAGAACCTCTTCATTGACTACAACAAATCTATCATCAAATCTCGGCCTCTCGAATCTCAGTTGATGGTCGAAGCTGAAACTGTTCACTTTATCGAAAAAGTTTCCCCAAAGCTTTACGCTTATTGGTGGGTCACCATTAACCTTTGTAGAGTTCTTTGATTTAGTGCATTTCAAAGAATATGATATGGGTGGTGGAATACACGACAACGCCTCTTCCAAGCTGAGAACTGGAAACGAATACGTGTTAATATTATTCCGCAATACGAGAGGGCAAATGACGAAAAATTAGCCGTTAAGGCGCTTTGCACAGACTATACCAGACGCTTACATGGTAAGTTTACGATGACATGGATATGTTCTTCGGGAGGTGAGTCTGGAAAGTATTTCGAAATCTTTCTTATTGTCAACAGCTCGTCACTATCCTGGAGTATTAGATTTCTTAATTGATCATCCTGATTGCCAGGGATCGTCACCTTCCATAGCTTGAGCCTGTCTGCGTCTGCACCAGCAAAGTCATTTTGTTTTTCCGCCTTAATAACTTTCTTGAGATGACTAACTAGCTTTTCCCTATCAATATCTACGGCAAAAGCACTCGCGGTTGTATTTCCTTTGACAAGACATAGTAAAATGATAGACATGTTTTCGGCTTATATAGTATTTTTTGCGAAATGTTATTGGCTCAAAGTGCGGTATATGAGGACAAGAGTAAAAGAATTTTATTTGCGAAAAAATACTGAGGCCTAGTATATGTGAGATTTAACTGTCGCACAGACCTGCCGTGTGATTAGCAATTACATCATAGGTGCAACGATCGCCTAATCACTGCGCCTCCCTAACCGTGAAGACTCTTCACACTTATCACCTGACGTTTTTTATATAGCTGATAGGTTAGATTGGCTCAGATAAAAATGTTAGATTTATAAGCATCATCACACGTGACCCGTTTCTCATACTTTCGATAAAATAATACTTTATTTATGAAATAAAAACGTTACCGGTAGCCGGCCTACAATACATAAAAATTGCGACTATATCGCTACATGATGTGAATATAGATATAAAAAATATAACTAATAAGGGTGTGGACCCGCTTCTGAACTCGTCCCATCATTTATACATAAAGGTCGCTAAACTTATTTTTCGAAATCCTGTATTTTACAAAATAAAAAGATAAGAACAATATCACCTTCGTCCATTAACATCATCATAATTACTAACCTAGCTCCTTAATATAATCCTCAAGTTCTAATGCTTGTCTTAATGTCATTCCGTATTCCTTAAATTTCTATCCAGTTAGCATGAGAAATGATTGACCGGTGATTTTTTCATCCTCAAGCTTCGTAAAAAAGCCATCATTAAGACCTAAGTCTTTAAAATTTTTATCATTTCGCAAAAATTTGATAAGTCTATCCGTTTCCCATCCTTTTATAATGTCAGCTGGAAAGGAGGTGGAACTTTCTTCGCTTGTTGTTGTGGAAGACATCTCGCTTTCCTAAATACAAGGCCCATTGTGAGAAAAACTTGCTCCCATACATACATAATTTAGGGCATATACATACCTTATTTTGCGTTATTTTCTCTGGGAAAGTTTTTTGCGGAAAGTTGGCTGAACTTCCACATACAATTACAGCTTTATATCTTGCTGGGAAAAAAGATAAGGAGATAAGAATAGTGATTAGCATTGTCGTATGATGCCAAGAGCTCTATGAAAGCACATGTAAACGGAATCCTCATACCTTTTCACATGTAGATCTACCGGAAAGATATAGTTGGTTTTACGCCTGGCGATCTCGAAATTGTGAGTCCACCAGCCTTTTATAACATATGCTTTTGCCGTCGGTATTTACATATGGGGTAGGTCCTGTGTTACAACAAAGTATTCTTTCACATTTTTCTCATGTTTGTTCAGGAAAAAATAAAGAGCGAAGGTTAATATGTTTTCTTTTTCGAATATATGCAAAAATTATTATGTCGCACAAGAGGCTGACTGCTGATCCACTTATTTTTTGTCGCACAATCTGTGGCTCAGCAAAATCTTCCGAGCTAATGATCAGCACATAGATCTTCAAATATAACCACTGTATCATTGCTCCGGACTATTGATCTAGCCAACCCTGGATCAGAATACCACTGCAAATTATCTCGCATACTTAGATCTAAAAGGCTCTGAAGGCTCTGAGCTAAAATCTGTCTACTAGCAATGTTGTTCTGTGTAAGATGATTTCTAACCACTCCAATCAGATCAGAAGGCGATATAGTATCCACAAAATTATCAACATAGATATTCGGATTAAATGAAATGAGCTGATCTATAGCCTCTTTGCTAATTTTATAACACCCTCTCAAATTAAGATATTTTAAATTAAGGCATGATCTAGCAATTTCTTCGATAGTTATTTCGGTAATTTTACAAAAGCTAAGATCAAGTTGTTGGAGCCTTGGGTTAGAACGAATAACATTACAAATTGATTGTTCGGAAAACTCTGTGCGATTGGAAATATTTAGATATTCTAAATTATAGCATGAGTTTGCAATTGCAGATAAACCTATATCATTTTCTGATTTAAATCCTCCACGTAAAGCAGATATATTAAGATACTCCAAATTTGGGTATAATTTCGCTATTAGCTTTAGAACTTTACCTGTAGGATCTATGCTTTTTTCAAAGTCTAAGTGAATTATATTTGGGAATGTGTGTACTATGCCTTTGATTTTTTTATTTGAAAGTGAACGGTAGTGTGTTATTTTAAGATGAGTTAATTTCAAGCTATAAACTGGCTTTTTTCCTCCTCCAGGTACTATTTTTAAAAATCTTTCCAATCGAAATTTATCCTCCACATTGTCTCCCTTTAACTCAATACGCTTCCATAAAATAGGAGCACCGCATCTGTACCACAATCGGGAAACATATAGAGTGGGATAGAGGGATTTATCTATCGCTAAGAAATGTAAAATTTGTTCTAATAGTTCTGGTAAATAAAAGATGGTTAAATGCGTCATAAATAATCTGTATTATATGTTGTATCTTCAAACGAAAAAATAAAATTAGCCGAGCCTATTTTGTCACACAATACGTGGCCCAGCAAATTCTTTCGAGCTGGTGATAGTATACCACTCCGGCCATATTTCACAACGAAGTTCACAGGCAAGAGGTGGTATTTCAACCAGACTTATAATTTGTGGAAGATAGAAAATATCGGATTGTATGAATGCATGGAATAATGGCATTGGATTTTTCATATTGGGCAGGTTAAATATAAATTGCTTAAGTACTTTCTCTCTCCAATGCCTAACTGCCTCCGTATTCCAATAAGTTTTGATATCACAAAAAAGGTTATTCCAGTCTATATATTTATGCATTAACGGAATATCCCATTGAAATCGTGTTCCATATTCTTGGATAAATTCATCATAACATCTACCTGACATTTTGCTAATAGATCGATTGATTATATTCAAAAAAATAAAATCACGCAGTACTTGGTGATCGCTGGTCCAGATTAGTTGGATCGGACTCCTAGATGCTCGGGATAATCGAACCTCACGTATACTGGCATTTATTTCCGAATTTCAGCTAACATTGCATCAATTTCAGCTAACATTGAATCCATATCCATAGTCTGCTGAGACTTTTGATGATTGGGCTGGTGCGCAGGCGAAGAAGCCTGTGTTTGGGGTTTTGGGCTATCACTTGCCTCAGATTCATAGTCAGATTCAGTACCGTTGTCTTCTGATTTCGTATCGCCTATAGCGTAATTATCTCCCGCATCAAAGCGGTCTGATTCTTGTCTCAATGCAATTCTTGTGAGAAGTTTAAGATGTTGGGGGGTTGCTTTCGGGCCACCATGAAT